GCGTTGTTTGAGCCAAAGACGCGCTGTCGAGGGAGGTATGTTGATTTTAGGCAAACGCGCTATTGTGCCTACTCCTTCGTCTGGTTTCCGCTCATTAAATGCATCAAAGAATGGAATACGAGCACCACTCGTCCATTCTTGCCTTTTGCGGGTCGTACGTGGTGTGGAGGGTGCCATTTCGTGATGTTTGGGTTGAATTCGAATCATGGTGTTGAGGCTCTGTTCGCCTGCGCAGTCAATCCCTGCACCTAGTGTGAACCTCAACACTCCATCCAGTAGTTAGCTCTCTAGTTCCACCAATATTAAGATAGTAGAGCCTAGACTTCCTTCGATCGAAATTACGCAGAATTTGGGACAACAGAAATCTGATGGATGGATAGATAGATAGCAAAAGCAAAAGAAATTCTCATGAGGGGCCTAACTGGGAATTGAACCCAGGACCTGTCACAAACTCTTGAGAGCCACTGTTCAACAGTGAGGGTTTTACCCGAAGCAACAATCATACGACTAGACCATTAGGCCGGCTAGAGACAAAGATTGTTTTGTTAAGGTTATTTGATACATTATATTCTTAGCCTAAAATAACCCTTGTAATTTAATTGATTATCAACGATTCTTTTTCACCAGTAAGTCGGTGTCCGAATTTGTGGCGCAATCCAAAAATAGCCGAGGAAAATCAGAAACGTGTTCCCCTCTACTGACATCTTTATTACGCTCACTTACTCAGTATGAATTCTTCGCCTCCCTCTACACGTATAATTGAACATATACTTGAACGCTTCACGCCCCCACCGGAGCCTCTTTACAATCATCCGGATTCTACACGTACAAGGACCCGCTCTTTTGCTGCCGTACGGTAAAGGAATATTATCCTCCAAAAGATATGTCTCGGAGAGAATGTCAACTAAGCGACTGGCCGGCACTGAATACGTCATAGAAAGACTAGGGGAAGCGCAGCTATGTGTACTACTCGAGTATCAAAAAAAAAGCGGCTCGGAGGGCCCTCAAAGGTCACAAAAACGATGTGTCGAATAATGCTTGTTGATCTGAAACAGGATCCTGTCCGAGATCAACTTTACGAGGCTCAAATCGAATATCACAATATACCTGTACAGAAATGACAATTATAACGAAAGCTATGAGAGTATACAAAGGGGGTTCGGCGATATAAAATGGCTTTTGTAAAGAAACAAGTCTCCGATAAGGATCGGCAAGAGAGAGTCGCATACGGGCACGGACATGGAGACAAAACGATTGAGGACTTTTGGAGCTGTAACATGTTTACAGATGAACCTCACATCGATCCTTCTTCGCTAGCTATTGGTGATATCTTGCAAGAACAAGGTACACGCTACAACGACGAGAATATCATGGAACGAGTCGAGGAAAGAGGCTCGGCTTTCCATATCGCAGCTTGGATCAACCGGTGGGGAAAAGCCACGAAGCTTGAGTTTTACAACGACGAAGAAGGCTCAATCGAACTGAGGGAGCGGTACGCAAGTCGTGGAGAGTTGTTGCTCATGTAGCCGCATTGTTGTTTCATAAATGTCAGTGATGTTTATACACAGCTTGTGGAGAGAGAAAACATACGATGCCAGAAACACCACGGGAAGTATCACATCTGTACGCGCCGAATTGCCGCACAATGCAAGGAGTACCTGGGTTTTGACGGGCCTCGATCTCAACGAACTCGGGCTCAGCCTCTGGGAGAGCAGTGACGCTGGCAACAGGCAGAAGAGCCAAAACTTAGGTAAGATCAAACTTCATGTTTGCGGGTTGGAGTGCGTGGTATCAGACGAAGAGATGGGCTTTGGAAATAAGTGTAATGGTATCTGAGTGAGTGTAAAAAAGATTGATGCTTGCCAGAAGAATAAAAGAGATGGGAGCGCTTTATTTACGACCGTTCCGCTGGGTTTGTTGACATCGTGGTATATCTCAAGAATACTGGTAGCATTGGCAGGTTCTCCATATCAAAATATGGAGAGAACCAGATTCAATCGCTGGAATGCAATCTCTTTCGCATCCCCTTGGCTCAGACACATAAGTCCAGACTTTCTTGACCAAGCATTGCTTTTCCTGCTATGTTCTCCGTGAAACTAGAGATATTGGAGATATACAGGTTGCTCACTTGATGGATAGGTAGGTAAGTATACATTCCTTGGCCGCCTTCAAGAGCATGATGAACTGGACTTCAGCGAGATTATGAACATACATTACTAGTGCAAGGTGCAAGCAAAGCCTGAAGGTATGCATCATCTGTTCATAAACTACCTTAGGCAGGAAGCTGGAGGATACTACTTGAATCCAAGAGCCACTCAGTAACCCAGAGCAGGTTATCAGAGAATACAGCATAAGACATCCAATTCCGCTTCACTTGAAGACAAGCCAACTGTAACATTCTGTTTCAACGATTTCGCCACTGGAAGAACCAAATAAAGTCTGTAAAGGGGAGAAAGTCGTATCTTGACAGCATAAATCAGGACTGTGGATAACAGAAGCATGTACCATATATCTCGAGATAATACACTACTTCACTGTAGTATTG